AAATCGTCAGTTGTATCCTCTGATTTTTGTCTGTAGGGATAACGTTTCTATTAACAATATCTTTCAGGACCCTTTCCTCCGTTTTATGAACTGTGGAAAAGAAGTTCCTGTAAAATAGTCTATTAGGGGTATAGGTGTTGTGTTGGTTGTCTCTTCAGAGGTTGCATGGCATTTCACTTTCCTTCTTATGATGTCTTCGACGAAACCATTGGAGAAGCCGTTGTTGACTAGGACCTGCCTTACCCTACAGAGTTCTTCGTCGACTTGCTTCCATTCTGAGCTGTGGCTGAGAGCACGGTCGACATATGCGTTAACAACACTCCTCTTGTACCTATCTGGGCAGTCGCTTTTGGCATTTAGGCACATTCCTATGTTCGTTTCCTTAGTGTAGACTGCAGTGTGGAAACCTCCGCTCTTTTCCATGACTGTTACATCTAGAAAGCGCAGCTTCCCATCCTTTTCCATCTCGTAAGTGAAACGCAGCACGGAACTCCGCTCAAATGCCTCCTTCAACTCCTGCAGATGTCTGACATCAGGTACCTGTGTAAAAATGTCGTCAACATACCTGCAGTATATGGCCGGTTTCATGTTCATGTCGACTAAGACTTTTTGCTCGATGGTACCCATGTAGAAGTTTGCAAACAGGACACCTAGGGGAGAACCCATGGCGACCCCATCTACTTGTTTATACATGTGCCCATCCGGGCTCAAGAAGGGTGCCTCTTTAGTACAAGCTTGGAGTAGTTTCCTTAGGATATTTTCTGGTATGTCAAGAGGAGTACAGGCTGGATCACGATACACTCTGTCGGCTATCATCCCGATTGTCTCGTCCACTGGTACGTTAGTGAACAGCGATTCTACGTCCAAACGTACCAGTGGACGAGACAATCGGGATGATAGCCGACAGAGTGTATCGTGATCCAGCCTGTACTCCTCAGTCCCAATTCTAATTCTACTAATTCAGTCCTTCGCGGTCACCTGTCCCTATATAACATCCTTGGTGAATCAGACACATTTGATATCATTTGCCTTATGCACTTTTGTTCTTGTATTGGCATCCTAAGTAATATTTAGCCCCTTTTGAATATCCAGCATTTGATGATGCTACATTGTCTCCTCAGCTTGTTGCCATCTTTTGATAATTACTTACTGAAATGAATTACTTATTTCTAAATGAACATTAGAAATATTCAAAAAATATTTCCAAAATCAGTGAATAATGATGCATATTTCTAAAATAAGTACAAATAATTGATTTGAATTGATTATTTTCAAACTATTTACAGAGTTAGCTGGCAGCCAGTGCCAAGAATCGTCGTGGGGGTCTGAATGTGACCCAGGATCGCTGTTCTCTTCTTAATTATGGCGACTCCGACAAGCCTATGTTCATCCCAAACCCCAGACCATTGTCTCTGCCAATTTGGGTGAACCTGACCCCAAACGTCTGGCCTCATACTTGACGACAGACAATGTATCTTCTAGTATAGATAAGGTTGGTACCCAGCGTTGTCCGGGTCTGTCTGTCTCCCATTTGTCCATATATCTATCTATCAATCTACCTATACTTAACTATATATATTCATCTACCAATCCGTCCATCTATACATTTATCAATCCATCCATCATCTATACATCTATTCATCTATCAATCCACTCATCTGTGTATCCATCTAGCTATCGATCTTTCTGTCCGTCTACCTAACGGCCTATTTACCACCTATCTATCCAACTGTCTGTCCACCTATCTATGCATCCACTTAAAAATCTATTTATTCATCTATCCATCCTTCTACCAATCATGTCATCCTTATTTATTTATATATAGAAGAGTTCTTTTACTATTGTACAGCCACCAGCAACCACAGCGTTTCGGGCAGGTCCTTAATCCAATGTTCCCTGGAGTACGACCCACCAAGTCGTTTAACAACCAGGTACCCATTCACTGCTGGGTGAACAGAAGCTACAGTTAAGGACTGGCGCCCAGTCAATCCTCCCCGGCCATGATACAAACCCAGGGTAGATCGCTCGGCAAGCGCGGGGCGAGGGTTTTAACACCGCGCCACGGGGATTTCGATCTATTTATCCATTTATCTACTCATCAATCTGTGAATAGCTCTATCAATCTATTCATCCTTCTGTCCATCCATCTATTCATCTACCTATCCATCTATCTGTTAATCTGTCCATCAATTTGTCCATCTATCCATATATCTAGCTATAAATTCATACAGCTATCTGTCCATGCATCTGTGCAGCCATTTATCCTTCAATCTATATATATCCCTCTAGCTTTCTATCTGTTCATCTATATATTCATCTATTCGTAGATCTATCTATCTATCTATCTATCTATCTATCTATCTATCTGTCTGTCTGACTCTGTCTTTCTTTGTCTCTGTCTCTGTCTGGGAGTTCGAGAGCGAGAGGAGTTCAGTGGTGTGAAATACAAAACAATAATAGTTACTACTTACTGTGCCACAGTGCCGTTGCTTGAGAAACTTCTGACATCCTTGTGTGTAAGGATCGTGTGGTTTATGCCAGTGAGGCCAAATTATTAGCACAAAATTCTCGTAATTTTCCCAAGATCAGTGAATAATAGTGAATATTACTTTAAGATTTTTTGGAGGACGAAAGGATTTTGTTTTGAAAATATAGATATGTAGATGTCCGCCAGTGCCCAAATCTATAGAGAAGGAGCAGGTGGCGTTAGCACGCTGTTCTTCTTCTTCTTGAGAATAGGTGCAGTTTGCATGAAGGGGTAACCCTCCCGATGACTGCACCAGGACAGACGTAAGGAGACGCGTTGATGGTAAAGAGGAGAAGAAAGTCAAAAGCGGTAGACGTGATGGGCCGTAGAGAGAGGAGTGGCGACGAATACAGAGGCGAACGTCAGAGGGAGACTCCCCGCACCGGGGGGCGGGGCGTCATGGTCACGGTGGCAGCTGATCCAGGCACGGCGTAGCGGTGTGCGCAAGATGGGAACTAATATTTCTCCGGAAACTTACGGTACGGAAAGCGCAAGCGGTACGCTTCCCAAACCACCCACAGGTCGGCGGGCAGCCGGCCATCAGGCTGTACCCTCGGCTGAGACATCCTATCCGGCACCCTATAAACAAACTCCTTCTTAGACGACACCCAGATGGTGGACGAGCACCACGGGATCGGAAGCACCCGGGCATCCCGATAAGGGCCCAACTCCGGACCCTCACAGGGCACGACCCCAGCAGACGGGACTAGGCAACCCCCAGACCGGGGCAAGGAAGGAGGGGGAACTGCAGGCGCGGCAGCGACCCCACCACAGGGCACAGGAGCCGAGGCTCCCTGGCGCACATCTTTCCGCAACTTCACGACGAGGTCCCGACCATCAGGGACAACCCCCCACTGCGGGGACCCAACAGCAGGAGACGCAGGAGGGGGGGCACAGGGAGCAACGTCGGAGCCCTCACAGCACCATCATCCTCGGCGGGGGACGCCAGCTGAGCACCATACTCCCCCACCTCCTCCCAAGGCACACCACGTAGGGGGGAGACACTCCGAGCCCGCCGCGAACGCTTCGAGACAGGCCGCACCACACCACGCCCAGCAAGCCCCGCCGCAGGCACAGCCTCCACCGTCATACCCACACAGGCCACACCCGCACCGTCCGAAGAGTCCACAGAGGCCACATCACCCACACTGTCTACATCATCCACGGAAACAGCCTCAGAACACCGACGCGCACGCTTCTGCAAAGGAATGGGGAGAGCAGAACTACAGGAGGCAACACACTCAGGCACGGCAGGCACCTCACCACGCCGAAGCACCCCCTCCAAAACGGCAGAACCCGCGTCCCCGGGAGCCGGTATCACATCCACAGGCGGGGGAGGAACATGAACCTCCACCGGGACACCTTTCACTACACACAGCTCAGGCGACAGCCCGACACCCTCACACACCGGCTCAACAACCCCAGGGGCCACAGCTGGCACGAGACGTGTCGCACAGGCCGTAGAGCTCTTCCCAACAGGCGGAGCAGCAGACAGGCAGTCAGGCGCCTCAGGCACAGCACCCACACCGCCCGAACGCAACAGGGGCGGAAAATCCTCCGCACGAAGAACATGCACACGACCAGTCGCTCCCACGTCGCACGCAGCAGCCAGATGACCCTCGTGACCACACCGATAACAGGTGCGCGGTTGACCCCGGTACTGGCAGCGGAGCGTGTATCCCAACACGGACATCGACGACGGTACACTACCCTTCAGCGACATCGTCAGGGTGCGGGAGCCGTCAAGCATACCAACACAGTGCCCGGCAACGACCTTGTTCCAACGAACACTCAACACTGTCCCAAACCGTTCGAAACAGGAGGTTAAAAAGTCGTCCTGAAATTCGAAGGGGGCACCATGCACCGTCACAGACGTCAAGGTGACACTAAGATTCATTACCTTAACGGAGCCAGCAGTATCAGGGAGAGGGTAAACACGCCCCTCACACCGCTCGAGAAACGACTGAAAGGCAGCCTGGAGGCGGAACTTGACCACAGCACGGTGGCCCTGAAGCAGCTGGATGCCCACCAGGTCAGACAGCTGCACCTGCAGCACGTCCACCAGGGCGACACCAACCAATGGATGGTCCACCGGCACCGTAAACGCCAGACCAGCTGACAGCGTCCTCTGCAATGGAGGGCGAAACGTCCCCATGGCGAAGCAAACGTCACCCCGTCAGTGGCAAACCACCACCAGCAGGGCAAACAAGCGATCACCAACGTAAACACCAGCCAGTGCGGAGAGACCTCAGGAACGTCCGACCCGGCCGGCGGTCACCACGCAACTCCCACGCTGTTCTCTTTTGACTTATGCGACCCCGACCAGCCTATGTTTATCCCTTACGCAAGACCATTCCCTCTGCAAATTTAATTTGGGTGACGGTAGCCTCAACCTTCTTTCCGCCAACTTTGAACAGACATTATCTCTATAGTATAGATGATATAGATACGAACAATAACTTGTGACAATACTTTATTTAACATGAAACTCGAGGACAACAATAAGTGAACGTTTACTAAGATGAACTTCTTCACCGGTTAACTGTTACACATACGAGTGTTTACTCGAGCTATTGTTTACACTAACTAGTGTTTATCACAGCTAGTGTTTACACTAACTAGAGTTTATCACAACAAGTGTTTGCACCAACTAGTGTTTACACTAACTAGAGATTATCACAGCTAGTTTTTATCACAGCTAGTGTTTACACTAACTAATGTTTGTCACAACTAGTGTTTACACTAACTAGAGTTCACATAAGTGAGTGTTGACACTTGAAAGTGTTGTAGTAGAGAGAGGATGTATACATGTGCATATATGTATTATGAGAGAAAGAGGAAGTATACACCTACGAGAGTGTGAATGTGAGTAATATGTGTGAGGCAGGTATATACATGTGTGTGTGTGTATATATGTGTTGTCTATGACGGTTGCTGTGAAGAGACGTCATCCTTCACTTCTTCAAGCAACATATACTCGTCTGAAACTTAAGTTTGCGAGTTGTTCATAATTCATTGACATCAAAGTTAAGGTCTCTGGAGTTAGGGCTTCCTGTAGACAACCAGGAAGAGTATCGAGTTAGGGCTTCCTGTAGACACCCCCAGAAAGAGTATGGTGCAAGGGCTTCCTGTAGACGCCCATGAAGAGTATGGTGTTAGGGCTTCCTGTAGACGCCCATGAAGAGTATGGTGTTAGGGCTTCCTGTAGACGCCCATGAAGAGTATGGTGCAAGGGCTTCCTGTAGACAACCATGAAGAGTATGGTGTTAGGGCTTCCTGTAGACGCCCATGAAGAGTATAGTGTTAGGGCTTCCTGTAGACAACTATGAAGAGTATGGAGTTAGGGCTTCCTGTAGACGCCCATGAAGAGTATGGTGTTAGGGCCGGTCGGCCGAGCGGACAACACGCTGGACTTGTGATCCTGTGGTCCTGGGTTCGATCCCAGGCGCCGGCGAGAAACAATGGGCAGAGTTTCTTTCACCCTATGCCCCTGTTACCTAGCAGTAAAATAGGTACCTGGGTGTTAGTCAGCTGTCACGGGCTGCTTCCTGGGGGGTGGAGGCCTGGTCGAGGACCGGGCCGCTGGGACACTAAAAAAAAAAAAAAGCCCCGAAATCATCTCAAGATACCTCAAGATAAGGGCTTCCTGTAGACGCCCATGAAGAGTATGGTGTTAGGGCTTCCTGTAGACGCCCATGAAGAGTATGGTGTTAGGGCTTCCTGTAGACACCCATGAAGAGTATGGTGTTAGGGCTTCCTGTAGACACCCATGAAGAGTATGGTGTTAGTGTGGTTGTCCCTGATGAAGAAGACGAAGGGTCGGTCACATCTGAACACTCTGGGTCCAGGGCCACCTCTGAAGACGATGACTGTGGAAGCAGCAGCCTCGGAGCCTTCCTCGTTCACCTCCACCACGGCCTTGTGGATGACGGTGTTCACACTCAGGTTGGTGCCCCGGACATAGTTGGTGAGATCACTGCGGCTCGAGAACAGGTCTTCGATCCCCAGAGCTTCTAGTGCCTGTCAGGAAGATAGGAAGCGTGGTGAACACTAAGAACATGTCAGACGGGTGGGTGAACACCAAGAACATGTCAGACGGGTGGGTGAACACCAAGAACATGTCAGACGGGTGGGTGAACACCAAGAACATGTCAGACGGGTGGGTGAACACCAAGAACATGTCAGACGGGTGGGTGAACACCAAGAACATGTCAGACGGGTGGGTGAACACTAAGGACATGTCAGACGGGTGGGTGAACACTAAGGACATGTCAGACGGGTGGGTGAACACTAACAACATGTCTGTGAGAAAGGTGAGTGAACACTTTGAACACGTCTGTGAGAAAGGTGAGTGAACACTTTGAACACGTCTGTGAGAAAGGTGAGTGAACACTTTGAACACGTCTGTGAGAAAGGTGAGTGAACACTTTGAACACGTCTGTGAGAAAGGTGGGTGAACAAGAAG